TCTCGTCGTGCTTTCTTTTTGCTGCGAGCTGCCGAGGTGCAGTTGTTGGAAGATATAGCCGCAGTTCTCCCATATGCCAGTGAGTCTTCTCCGTTAGCAGTTTCATGAAGCTGCAAGTTCGCGAAGCTATCCGTACCTGGCGGTCGGAGTGTTGAATTGCCTCCTCGGAAGAGACACGCGATGGGGCTAGGTCCAGATTGCTTGCCGTAGTAGTGCCTGATGGAGAGGTAGAGTATACCGGCAGCGGCATAAAGAGAGATTCGAGAAGTACCTCCATTGCTTGTTCGCGGCTAAGGACCGGGCGAAGGGCTGCCATTATGTTGACAGTGTTTAAGTTCGCCAGGAGGTGACCTCACTCGTGCGAAACTTGAGAGAAAGATCTGCGAGGGGAGGTGTGCTGAGTGAAGCCGAGCGCAGCTTTAGCTAAGCTTCAAGAGTTTTTCCGCTCTTTGGAAGGACTTGCTCTGGGAACAGGAGGAGACCTCTCTCGTTGGGTTGCTATGGTGCTCTAACAATTGACTAGCCCCGAATTTTATCGGTAGGAATCTGCTTCAGATGTCGACGGTGTCTAACTAGGAGCAAAGTCAGCGCCACTGCAAAATTCTTGTAGTCCTCAAAGACCTGGTCATGGAGCGGGGACAGAATTGTGATGACTCCTTGTGCCTGCTCGAGATCTCCTTGGTCACCGCCGTATCTTTGACGAACTTGTTGCCAGAGACTGTCAGCGAAGTAGCGGTGGAGAGTGTCTCTAGGTAAGAGTTGGCCCACGACCAGGTTCCGCACCCACAAGAAGTCTTCCTCTGTCAGTGGGGTAGACAGCCAGAGGCGATAGATTGTCAGGATTTCTCGGAGTGTCTCCTGATAGTGCGGTATCATGGGGGCCAGTTTGGTGTGATACTCCTCATAGTCAAGCTTGGATAGATCTCGGTCTTGTTCGAGAAAGTCCCAGCTGTCTCGAATCTGTTCGCTGGCCGACGTTGGTGTGGAGGCAGTGATGGTCCGCAGTTGTTGCAGCAGGCGCAGCTGGAGCGAGGCTCTTTTGAGCGTTCTGAAGTCATATGCTTCGAGATCAAGCTGATGAGTGTCTTGCAGCCTGAGGCCCAGGGGGAAGTACTTCTTGCCTTGCCAGGTGTCCTCAGTCGTTTGTGGGTGCTCTTGTAGAAGGTTTCGCTGATGCGCCGGGGTAAACTCCGATCGCAGTAGTACTTTGGCCTGTTCCAAAGTTTGGAGCAGAACGGTTCTAAGTTCCGTCTGCGAGAATCTCCTGACAAGGTATTGCCAAGTCAGATTGCATGCTTCATTGGCATCGAACGTTCTAAAAGACGGTGAGCCTTCTCCATCGTTTGTGTAGTTGCGGATCATGATGGAGAGGTAGGTTATTTGCTGGCGCTGGAGATAACCCATGTGTGGGGGGAGTGGAACTGGTGGCAGATCCTCATCAATGTGCTTGCGCTTGCCTGCTAGTGTACGCGGCCAGTCGTCAAAGGGCAAATCAACGTGTCTGCCCTCGCGCCAGGCTAGGTGCCTGTCCAGCTGACATATAAAGCTGCATAGCCTTGATGCCACTCTCTCGCTTCTTGCCTCCATGGGCGCGAGTTCGTTTGTGGTGAAGGTGAGCCTCCTTGGGGCAAGGTGGGTCTCTGCTGAAGTAGACGTGGCCATCTGTTCTTGTGCTCCACCCGGTAAGTGAACGGTGGTTGGCACGTGAAGCGACTCCATGAGAATTTCGAGCAGAACCTCACGCGATAGTAGCGGCATGGCTGTTTGATTGACCGGGAGGGGACCTCACGTGGTCAATTAGCTTTAGAGTTGAGCCAAGCTGTGGGGAAACCTATCAAGGCAACAGACTATTGCCTTGAGTGCTGGAGGGCATCAGAGCGGCTGAGCTGAGGCGTTGGCATTGCATGATGTGTCGACGTTGTCTGCATGAGGACCTGAGCCATGATTCAGAGAGGGCTGAACTGGTGTAGACTGGTGTGTAATAATAGGACGCAAACAGATGGGGATCGTAGGCTGACCTTTGTCGCTCTGCAGTGAGTGTCATCGGTCCTCCTGCTAGGAAGAGGTAAGTCTAGTGAATTGACCAGGAGGGAACCTCACTCGATCGATGGGATTGGCGCTGTGGCCGAGAGGCCCGCTGCCGTAAGTATAGCATGTCTGAATACCATCCGCCTCTCAGGTGTGAGCATTGTGAAGGACAGAATCCAGGGCAAGGGCTGTTCCAGTACTTCATTCTCCAAAGGAGAGAGAACGGCATATAGTCTTTCCTGAGCCCTGGGATCTTCTGGGAGATGGACTGCAATTTGCCCTTTGAGTTGAAGGGCAAGGTGGAGTTTGGCAAAGCTGTCCGGTACCGTAGTGTTATGCCATAATGCTTCGAGTGTGGCTCGCTCCGTGACGGCGATATGTCGCGATAGCCAGGTTCGGCCCAGAGCAAGGTCCGCCCTCATCATCTGGTAGGTTTTGTTGGGCAAGAGGTCGTAGAGTGCCGTCAAGTGCT